CGCATTACGCTAAGTTTCGTCTTTTTATTATTCAAATTGCTTTGTCCAAAGCATTTTTAAATGAATGTAAAGTTGAAAAAAAGTCTCATTTCCTGAATTTCTGGGATTTCTTTCTCAAGTGAAGTCTAGTTCGATCGTAAATCATTTAAAGTTAGGTTGGATTGAAATTTTTTGTTTTATACACCCTGAGCTGCGCGGCTTCGGAGGAAAGAGGTGTAATGCCTTGAAAACTGATGTTTTGAGTCACCGAGCCTCTTCGACCAGATGTCTATGAAAAAAAAAAAAAAAGAAAAAGAAATGGGGGGAAGAATTTCTTCACAGTATTGATGCTTATTTTCATGGATAGGGTCCGTAATTAGTGTACACCAGACAGGTGAATTGTGCTTTTCGTGTGCGCTGATTGGCTAGTTCGAAAAGGCAAAGTCGCGCGTTAAGAGTTTCATTTCTGACCATTTTTTTAACTATTTCATAGAAAATGGAAAAAATTATTTTGGGTTTCAGTGTGATACAGTTTTAAGCAATTGTTCACTTTAGTGTCGGTGATAAATATTAAATTATACCGATATGGAATCCTGATGGCCCCAAATGGACCTTACCAGTACACACGACCCAGACCTGTTTTACAGAAATCACATCAATCACATGTCTATCAAGTGCTGTCAGGAGACGGGTGATGCATTATGGGATTCCACGTGAAACGCGAGGTTCGCCATGTTGAATCGTTTCATTGACTTTTCTTGTCATGTGTAGCTAAAACAGCGGAAAGTATTAAAAATGTACAACAACATAGGATTGCAGACTGCCCGTGGGTCAGGCACGAATGGCTATGTGCAAAGAAATTTGTCTCTACTTCGTAGTAGAAAGGATAAAATCGAATACCACACCAACGAGGATCTTGCCAAATTAGAACAAATGAACACGAAAAAACCTAACCAAGAGATTTTGGAGCACGAAAGGAAACGACAGATTGAGCTCAAGTGTATCGAGCTACAGGAAGTAATGGAAGAACAGGGGTGAGTTTCAAGACTGAGCATTTTTTTTTTAAAACTCTGTTTTGGTTGACCGTCAAATTGAGGCGTAGAGATCGGGGCCAGTGTCTGGTAATGTTTTATCAAAATAGTAGTATTTTTAAGATGCTTACTTCTCTTACTCTCTTGAGAGTCAATGTCTTTTAAAAAGTGGTTGAAGTATTTATTATCCGTGGTATTATTACGATGGAATTTGAAGCACCGTGCGTGTTGTAAACATATTTTAAAATTAAAAACTCTGGTGTACGTTTCTTCTGCAATACGTGGTAAGTACTTTACCAAATGTTACCTGATTCTCTTGAAAATTCAAATAAGAATTGAAAGGAAGGTAGTCAAATTTGGCACGTACGTGTAAGAAACTTGATATTATGGGAAGCATTGGATGTGATGAAAATTTTGTCGAGGATTTTGACACTATTCACAGCAACATCTTGGTTTGAACAGTTGGTCAGAGCTTTGCAGATGTCTTTTACTTGCATGATTAATACAGCATGAGGTATGACAGCCTCACATATGGTTTTGTGTAGTGTTATGCACAGGGGCTACTTACATTTACAAATTAAACAACAAACATTTTTTATCACAAATGATTAAAGGTAGTAAGTACCTAAAGAAACTGTGGTGCTTTGTTAGTGGGGAGTATAACAAGTAATTTGGTCTATAAAACAGGTTGATAATGTTAATTGGCTGCGGTAAAAAGTCGCTAAAGCTGACATTTTGAGCGCTAGCCCTTCATCAAAGCTATCAGAGGAATTGTGGGTTGTATGTGTGTGTCTATTTGCAGGAAAAGGAGTAAAAGTGTTTTTTGATACAGTTGGGATTAAGAGTGCCAATTGTAAGGATAAATTTTTGTTCTAGAGTCTTTTTTAGGGGTGAAATTGTAAGGAGAAATTAGATGTTAGTCACTTTTGGGTGCCAAAGAGCAGGGCTGTACACCAACTTTTCAACTTACTAGCCAAGTGGCTAGTGATAACTTAGATGTTACCTCAATTGCAGTTGTTTTATTAGCCAAACTGGCTAGTGGAAATCGAAAAAGGAAAAAGCAGCCAAGTCATGGGTCAAAGCAAGGAGATGTATGATATATAACAGCATCCCAGATTTTATGCAAGGAAATTCAATTAAATGCCTTACCTTATTTTGTAGTGATTGACATTTGATTCAGGAAGTGAAACTTTAAACATGTATTATCCAAATGGATTACCTTCTTTGTGTTTCAGGATTAGGTTAAGATAGGGTCAATTGAATTCAGAATAATTAATCCAGACATTTGAATATTTCAATGACTTGTGCACACATAAACGTACAAAACACTTAGCTCTTTCACTCTTAAGTTCTCATTAGTAATTCTTCTTACTGTCTGCCATACAATTCTTATGATGTCAGTTTGGAGAATTTGGTCTTAAATCAACTAATAATCTTTCACAATGCCTCTCTTCACCCAGGAGTTTAAATGGGTAGCAGCAAATTTCATCCTGGGGGTAACCCTGCAGTGGACTAGCATCTCATCCAGGGGGGGGTAGAAATACTCCTAGTTGCTTAATGTTACAGAAACCAGAGTTAAGGACCAGCCTGATGGGCCACTGGCTCTTAAACAGACTTTATCTTTTTTTTGATATCAATATTTTTCTTAATTGTTATCACTTGTCTTCTTGATATTGTAAGGAGAAAATCTTTCTTGGTCACTCGTGGGAGTTAAAGGGTTAAGTTTACCGTCAGGTTATTTGTGTTTTACATAAACTTGATTCATTTTGTATCAAATTAAGTTAGCCATCTGAATCAAATAAGCTATACAATTCTTTGTTCATCAATTTTATGTACCATCAATGGTCTCACCATTCAGACTCTAAGCCCAACTTTTTAGAAGTTGACTTTGAATGACTGTATATAAAGGAATGGTTACCAGCCATTATATATAAGTTGCTTAAAAAGAAAGAAGGCAAAAAATTGAAAGAAAGAGCTGGCCTTCTCATGTTAATGACTCTATTTTGTTTTTGTTTTGTTTTTCACCTAATTTCTCAGATATAAAGATGATGAGATAGAAACCAAGGTTGAAGAGTTGCGGCGCATTCTCTCTGAACAATCAGGCATAGGGTCCAAGGACAACAAAGATGGAAAGTCCACGTATGTACAAATTAGTGTATAACCTCCATATTCCAAATTTATTTATTTCTCCTTATTCCTTTTGCAGCTGGGCCTGAGGTAAGAAATTGTGGTGAATTCCAAATGCAAAATTTTTCCTCTCATTTCTATTTTCCAGGAACTTACATAATGAAACTGGTATAGTTTTTTAATTTATGTTTTTGATTATTATTCTTGAGTATTATTTGTCTCTGTTTGCACAGAAACCTCTTCAGGACCTGGAAAATGTGTATAAATTTTGCTTCTTCTTTTCGTTAGACCATGAAGTGCATGTATTTGTTTCTACTTATGTCTATATTCATCAATCTGTTACCAAATCATGAGGCAGAATATAAAGCTTATTTTATACTTACCTTCTTGCATTGTACTCGTATTCCTGCACCTTATAATGAAAACCATTTTAGCCTTTTCTTATGATTTCTTCAATTTTAATATCTCGTACACAAAAGAATGCTTTTGAACTTAAAATTCATGTGCCTGATACTCTTTAATCCCTTTCTCTCTTCCTTCTCCTTTACTTTCATTTGTCCATCAGGTTTTACTCTTATTTTTTTTTTTTTCACAAGGATTTGTTTCTTCATTTCAACTTTTCTGCTTAATCTTTGTTAATTAGGGGCTTTTAAGTAATTAAGTTGTAATTTATAACTTATTGTTCTGTCACTGTTGTGGTATACTTTTTTATTTCATTGTTTGTTTATGTTTTAGCATGTAGAAAGGTGAGGTTTTTGTGAGCTTTCACAGTAATGAATTATAACTGTCACCCAATGGTTATAAATATTCTTAAGAACAAACTGTAATAATGTGTACTTTTTTGCTATGTACATGTGACGTATTTTTATCTGAGAATCATAAGAGCGCTTTTCAGTTGAGGGTTCTAAGACTTAAACCAAAGTAATGACTGCAGCCAATCAGAAGGAAAGAAAAAAGGAGTAGGTAGTGAGAGTCAAATCACTCATTCACTCCCAAGATCACATCAATAATTCTTCTTACAGTCTTCCAAACAATTATTATGATAGTGTGGAAAATTTGTTATTGGAAAAACTAATGATCTTGTACGTGACATTTCCTTTCATTCTCATCCTCTTTGAGCTTGAAATTGCATTGACGTTGTACATAAAAGGAGAAATTCTGTCTCGGTCACACTTGGGAGTTAAAGGGTGAAAACAAGCAAATTGTTTAAGTGCAGAAAAATACTAGAGACAAGTCTCAGTGGGTGTTTAGTTTTGTATCTGATTCGTTGAAAGGGTTGGGAAAGATTTCCAAACAAACCACAGAGGAAAACTAAACAAAACTGGTAAAATCCTTGATCACTTTTAAGGCTCAATTGAAAAGTGCATTAATGATATGTTTCAGTTTCATAATTAGGGAAGG